ATATCAGTAAATGCTGGGGCATGCTGAAAGCCCATATCATTATGTGTTAAAGATCATTGGTTTGAACAAATATTTCCAATAAGATAAAAAGATATGAAGAATGAAGATAGTGAAACAATGACAGTAGAGCTGACTATACATAATTGCCTCGTTCATTAGGCAGTTGTATTAGGGTCCTATTGTTGAATAAATATTTACTCAACAAGAATGGTTTCAAATACCCAATCTTCTTAACCACGTGTCATATAACAACATGTTCTTTGTTAAGATACATCACGGTTGTATGAATAAAGATAGTCCACAGGCAGACCATTCGGTCTAGGGTTCAGTTCCTCAAAATCTCGACTTTGAATTTTGTATTTCGTGTGTCGGTGATGATTGGAAATATTTATTTGAGATTCCTGGCGGTTAGTTTCAACCATACTGTTGAGGTTACGAAGCTATTTTTCACATCAATTTTTGTTTACTTGATGACATTGAATAAAGAGGCTCAACTTACGTATATTACCCTTATTCCCGTTGTTACTGGGGTTATCATTGCCAGTCAGGATGAACTGAGTTTTCATCTATGTGGTTTATCATGTGCGTTTCATCTACAGCAGTAAGAATTCCATGAACCTCCTTCTGTACATGGATCTTATAGCTGATATGTTTCTACTTCCTACAACACTCATTACGAAAGAAAACGTGATCAGTATCACACTTGCTCAAGATGATATCAAGATCAGTTGGTATCTCTTTTTCAATTTAACATTAGCATATTTTATGAATTTGACCAACATTTTGGCCATGAAACACATCAACATCTCACTTCTATTCCTACTGAGTTTTGTTCTCAAGTGGTCTTGTGACATCACACAAAAGCTTTGAATACTATGAAAAGAGCTTCATTGATCAGAAATCTGTGCAGAAACCACAGAAAAGGATGAATGTGTTGTCAAAAGCTTTACGAAAATCCGGGCAGAAGTCACGAGAAATGATGAATGTATTGTCACATGTTTTACGAACCAGTTATTATGGTGTTGTTGTTATCATATGATGTTTTCATTTATTGGTCTGAAATAAAGTTTGACTTCTTCAACCCCAAGGTCAAAAGTGAGATATGATGAAGATTTCTTTCCACAGAAGGGAAGCAAAAATTTTAACAACAAGAAACTAGTGGATCCAACTAAGGTTGAACGACAGGTTATTGTTAAGCATCTCGACATGATATAGTCCAAGTTGCCTTGTTCGAGATCTGATTAGATGTGAATACATAAAGGAATTAGGATAAATCCTCCTTGTGACGTGTTTCAAAACTCAAATTAGAACATACTCTACTCCCCTAATTAATCCTCGCTGAGCCAGACATATTTACATCTACACTCTTCAAAGATGATAGATTCTCTTTTCAAAGATGATAGATTCTCTTTTCAAAGATGAACGCTTTATTTTTTACACAAGTCCAAGCAAAGAAAGCCGATGTTATCAAAGATAAAAATGGGGCAACAATATCATAGTTCTGATTACTGTAAGAGTTCCATAAATAAAACATTTATTCTGAGACTTTCATGAAGCAAAGAAGACACAAAGATACAAGTTGATCAGATGGCTCTTCAGAGATACAAGCTTGATAGCATAAGTTGCTACACTGATATCCAAAGGTAACCCTGACAATAAATAATGAAGTGAAGGAATCCACTTTGAAGTTAAATGAAGATTGCATCAACATTCATGCATTCATAAGAACATCATTTACACAATAGACAATACATTCATGATACATCTGCGTGCAATGCATTACATTGATACATCTGAGTGCATTCAAACATGAAGTTTACAGATCTTCGTATGAACAAGAAGATTCATGATGAAAAATACCTTACAAGAAGAAGACAGAATTCAAAATCTCAAATGCAGGAATCACGCAAACATCTGAGGAATAGATGGACGCAATCCACATAAGAAGCATTATTTTAAAATGGGGCATGTTACCCAATCAATAAGTTATTTCAATGAGAAAACGATTTCCAAAATTTCTCATTTAATCTTTTCTAAAAATGAAATTGTTGAATAGTAAGAAAACGATTTCCATAGTTTCTTTCTTACTAAATTATTTCCCACATCTGTAAGACCTACAATGCATGATGTTTTCAAAAAGATTTTGGGAACTTTTTGATGTTTTTTAAAGCCTCAGGGTCATCTGTAAGACCTACAGTGCATGATGTTTCAAAAAGCCTTCGGGAGCTTTTTTTATTATTATAAAGCCTCAAGGTCATTTGTAAGACCTACAGTGTATGATGTTTTCAAAAAGCCTTCGGGAGTTTTTTTTATTTTAAAGCCTCAGGGTCATCTGTAAGCCCTACAGTGCATGATGTTTTCAAAAAGCCTTTGGGAGCTTTTTGATGTTTTTTTAAAGCCTCAGGGTCATTTGTAAGACCTACAGTGCATAATGTTTTCAAAAAGCCTTCGGGAGCTTTTTTATGTTTTTTAAAGCCTCAGGGTCATCTGTAAGACCTACAGTGCAAGATGATAGGACCTTTGGACAGAATGTTTTCAACATTTCCATCCTACTCAAAAGAAGCCAAATGAAAAAATTATTATCTTTTTCGTCTTTGCTCTATTCTTGTTAACATAATAATGAACAAAGAGGGGCAGCTGTACACATTAATTTTTTCATCATCATCATATTATTATTATTATTATTATTATTATTATTATTATAGACCCAAAATAAATAAAAACACAATCTGGAGCCCAAATTATTAATTCTGAAGCCTAAACATGGAGGCCCATATCTGGATGGACTAAAAAAAGACCCAAACTTATTTAGGGTTTGTATCATTTCTGTTAGGGTTTCATAACCCTATCCTAGCCATCGCCTCCAAGCTTCAGCCGCCACGTCTTTGCCAGGTGGTCCAATGCCCCATTGCCACCGCCATTGCCGACACTCATTTGGCACGCTACACTTGCCAGAAGACTTCAGAACACCATATGGCAGCCCACGACCATCCCTATGGTGACTCACCTAGGAAACCTCTTGGGTCCGGTCTGAGAGCCACATCCAACGAGCCTATAAATGGCCACCACCACCTGCAAAATAAAAAAAAAAGAAAAAGAGACCAAAGATAGAAACAAAAACCACCACCAACAACAGATGAAAACACAACCCGTATCAAAAATAAAAGAAAAGAGAAGATAGTGGAGCAACTTACCCTTGTAGGAGTCTCCAAACCGCTGTGCAACCACCAAAAACCGAAGGTAAAATACTAGATCTAGGCCGAATAGGAGACTTTTAGGAATAAAAGGGTTCAAAATCAAAATAAAGAGAGTGAGAGCTTTATTTTGATGTATTGTGGGATTTTCCGGCCACCGTGGTGGTCGGCGTCGGAGCACGGCTTTCGGTCGGAACCCTTTTCCCTCCGGTGAGGGAATTAAAGAGAGATTAGAGAGAAATTTGAACTTCTCTCTCCTAGAGAGAGTGAAATGAGAAAAATGAGAGAAGTTATCTCTCTTGGGCCAGTTAAAGGGTTATATACCCTATCCAAACGACGTTTTGGGGGAGGGGTTTATGTGTTTTTCACACATGGTAAAACCCTTTTCGCCATCCTTATGATTTTATAAATTTCCATTTTAGTCACCAAATCAATTAGATTAAATACCTTATTTAGTCCCTCATAATTTAATTAATATTTACTTTAATCCCGTTAGTATTTATGGCTAATTACACTATTAATACTTATAATATTTCGAATTAGAGCTATAAATTTTAATATTTTACATTTTATTCTGTTACTTTAATTTATTCCTGTTTTTAATTTTATTTATTTCAGTCATTATTTAATTGCAATTTATTATCCTTTAAATTACAGTATGTTCAAATTAGTAATTTAATTATTATTTTGTTATTATTTATTTATATAAAAATATATTGATTAAATATTGTATTTATAAATATATATATATATATATATAGTTTTATTCATATTATTCTTCATTTTATATTTCTTTAATTTTAGTCATATTAATATATTATTTGATTAATTTTTAAATTAATAATATTTATTTTAAATATTAAGAAATGACAGTCTTAAAGCAACTAGATGTCTTATTCTGATATTTTAAAAATAAATAAATATTTGCTTATAAAATTATATATATATTTACTTATTATTTTTAGGAAAATTATTATATTCTTATTAATATTTTTTAATATTAAGAAATAGGTTGTCTTAAAGCTAGAAGTTCTTTTCTGATATTCTAAGTAAATAAATATTTTATTTATAAAATTATAAACATTTTCTTAAAATTATACTAATAAATTTGAAATAATAGAATTATGAATTAAATATTTTAAAATTTTTAAATTGCTAATAATAGAGACAATTTATAATTAATAAGTACCAATTTGAGAGTTATAGGGTGCTAATCATTCTCTAAACATAATCGACTACAAATCCTTTCTTTATTAAATTTTTTTTGGTTATACGCAGATCAGTTTATCTTTTAAATTATGTTTTCTTAAAATCTATTTTAAGAGATTATTTTTAGGTATTTGACCTACCTACCCAAAAAAGATAATGACGACTCCCGAAATATTTTTTTCTCAAAATATTTTATTTTTTTTCCACCAAGTAAAAATTTCGTGCCCGGACGAAAATCGGTTACGACAGAGTGGATGGCTTATTGGATCAACCTGAAACTCTATATGCATTGTTGTTAAATCTGAACGTGTTCATAAAAATGTTGATTGAAATAGTTAAATTACATGAACAGAAACTTCAAATTCTTTTGTGTATTTCTGGGTCTGGCAGGTATCATTCTTTCAGTTGGGGATTTCTTTCTTTCATTTCGTGCCCGGACGAAAATCGGTTACGACAGAGTGGATGGCTTATTGGATCAACCTGAAACTCTATATGCATTGTTGTAAATCTGAACGTGTTCATAAAAATGTTGATGAAATAGTTAAATTACATGAACAGAAACTTCAAATTTCTTTTGTGTATTTCTGGGTCTGGCAGGTATCATTCTTTCAGTTGGGGGATTTCTTTCTTTCATGTTGACGGGGAGAATTTCTGCGATCAGGTTCGGTGTAATTCTAGGTGGAGCGCTTTTAGCATGAGGTCTCAAGTTTAAGATCATATAAAAGAGGAGAGTCCTATCCCTTGCCTCCAAAGGACAAGCAGGTTGTTACTTAATTTCTTAACTTGCAAATATTTTACATCCTTAATAGAAGATATGTTTCATTAACCGGATTACTTTTTCGGCAGTCATCTCATCTGTCATGTTTTCGAGGGCGTTAAGCTCTCTGGTTCTGGTAGGGATTCTATCTCTTTATAACCTTTATTTTTCTGTATGTTTTAAATTCCGGCCAATTTTGGTCTCAACTTCTGATTTTTCTTGAATTATTATTTTCCTTGTCCTTTTTGCAGAGAACAACTCTGGGCACCTTTATCGCTACCTTAGTCAGGTTCATAAATCTTTTTGTGACATTTAATTTCTTTGTTATATGTAAATGGAAATTACTCTGCGCGGTGTGACATTTGATGACCATAAGTTTACAAACCTTGGTTCTCTAAAACATGGTTATATGATGATAATAGTCTGTCAATTAAGCTTGTGTGTGATGTCACTTTAGTCCTGATTGGCATTGGGTCTTCGCTCAATCCCGAAAAATTATTCTGCTCCTTTTATAACAAAAAAAAAAAAAGTGGACCTATGGCATAAATGAAAGATATATTGTCAAATATTTGACAATAGTGATTTTTGTCTTATTTTTCTTTTTAGCTTTTTATCTTAATATTTTATTTTAAAACAAAAATTTAATCACTCTTAGTCTTTATTTTTTTAGAATATTTTAATTCCAAAGTTTCATTGTAAGGCAAAAAAAACCGCTTCATTTATGAAAATCATTAATCGACAAACGGTTAACATTTCAAAATAGAAACATTTTCCTCCAAATTAATACGTTGAGGGTCAAAATATTTCAAAAAAATAGAGACTAAAATAACTATTTAATCAAATGTTTGGAGTATTTTTTGTCATTTTGTCTAAATGAAGGAATGAATATTAATTTTGCCTCTTGCATTTAGTTACCAAGTACACCGTATTAGCTTACAGTTAGATATTTTACCTTGCTTCTTGAAGTCCTATAAAAGTTTGTACTCTCTTGCTGTTAGACTGTTGCATGAAAATTTTAAGTTTTACCTGCAATTGTTTTAATGTTCTTGGCATGAACTCCTGTGAGATACATGATGCAATTCCATTGTTTTTTTATTTGGATTCCTAGCTAAACTTTAGTTTGCAAGGGACTTTTTTTTCTTTTTATTCCACTATCCGAAGTCCAGCTTCTCTGAAATCTTGCTTTCATGTGCAGTGGTGCGGTGGTGGCATTCTACACATACAAGCTTCTACCAAATGACAAGCCCGGCTTAAAACCTGGTACAGAAAACTGATGTGTTTGCTCTGTTTTTTCAGCAATTACATGCATAATGTTTTAAATCAACTTAGAAGCCTGATATGGAAGATGCAGAGTGATAAAAACATCATCAAACAAATCATAAATGTAAAAGCAAAAACAATTGATGTATTGCCCTTCATAATTAGAAAAATTTCACGTGAACCTGGAATTATGTGCATTACCTTAATTATTTAGAGTTACAATGTCAAAAGCTAAAAGAGTTGGGAGTAACTGACTGATAAATGTTAAACCTAGTAATGTAGAGCCCAACAAGAAGAGGGAAGATAGGCAGCCAACTAGCCCTAAGGCTTTTGGAAGCATGGTCCTTGCGCTGGTTTTAGATATCTGGATGATGAACGTTATCAGGTTGATTATCCAATGGCATGTATTGTGCCATTATAGCCCGAATCTCTGAATCCATGTATCTCTGCATCAAGTTCAACAGTAAATGGAAGTCAGTTCCACCATTGTTCCTAGAAAAATACACGAACTATAGGAGAATATAACCCTCCAAATATATGAAAATATAAACTGTGGTCCGTGTCAAACACGCTTGTGTCCAACACATCCAAGTCCAAGCGATGTAGTTAACAACAATGTTAGAAGTGCTAGTCCAACTATTATTTCAGTTCAAAAATGGGTTCTAATTGATAAAACTGATACATATTTCATGTGTACCCTTTATGTTATGAAGTTCTGCTCATGTCTAAATCAACCAAGTGATGACTCTCATCAATAATACATCAACGGTTCTAAAATGTGATCTTGTAGTCTACGGGGGAATAGATAGAAGGAAGCATCAGATATTAGCACAACAACAATTACCCGGATTCTGTATTTATAAATGGCATATCCTGCACCTCCAGCGGCAATTAATCCAAGAATTATTACCCAAACGGACCCCCAGCTTAACTCTGTGCTAACGTTCTTACCTGAAAACAAACATCGTAATAGAGAGGTGTTATGATCCGAATATAAAATCAAAATCATGTCGATATGTCGAAAATCTCCAAATCAAGCAATTCAATGGACAATCAGCTTAATCTTATACTTGTTACCGAGCATGCCCTACCACATTATATGAAAAGATTTGCATCTAAAACGGACTATTCTACAAAGTGAAAAATGGAAAAGGAAATGGTGTCTATCAAAGCAGGCCTCGAAGGTACTCACCGATACACATGTCATGCTCTCGCATGTACAACGAACCACCACTACAGCTGCACTCATAACCACCCCAGATATTTTTGCATTTGCACCCAGGACATTGGCAGGCCAGCTTCTCCTTGCACTCATCAACATCTGGGAAACAGTCCAGTGTAAGAAATGGTCACCAACCCAGATAAAAATGATATAAAGCTTAAACACTTATTCAACGCAGCTGTAACAGGGAGCACTTCTGAGTTAAAAGTTTTGCCCAACAAATATATCAGATGGCTAAAAGCATCCGTATATTACACGCTTGCCAAAACCTCCACTCATCCCTTTCCTATAAAAGGCATCAAAACTTCAGCTTTTACTAAAGTTCCTCCTAAGTCAAATCTCTAGAAGTGATACAAGATTTTACGAACTCCTACCGAGGCATTTCAGATTCCTAGAGCACAAATTGAAACTAAAATACCACAGCGAAATGGTGTCCAAGTAAAACACAAATGTGATGGTAGAAATAGCAGCTAAGCATTCACAAGTGTTCGACAGATTAGTCAAAAATACTGAGCATAATGTTAAATAAACTGACTGACTAAAAGTAGAAAGCAAAAATCTCAATGAGCCATCTACTTCCAGTGTCGAGAATGACTTGATGATATTATATGAAGAAACCATGTAGAATATCCTAGTACCTTCACAGCTCTTGACGCCATCACCCCTGAATCCATGTGGGCACTTGCAACCATGTGAATGGTCATCCTGAACATTCCATTCCAGAACGAAATAACTAAGAAACCCGGAAAATGATCGAGAGATAAAGAAAAACAATAGAAGAGATAGACACAGGCACTCACTATACAAGCAGAGTATGTCCTTCCTTCCCGTGTTCTCTCCAACATCCTCCATTGTAGAATTCACAACGTAAACCCGCAGAAGCTGTTAATCAGAAAAGCAGATAGAACCAAGCATACAAGAGTTGTAAAATGCGAATTTCATTTTTAGCATTGATTATAACCCTCAGGTATGAAGACTGATATTTTCCATGAAAATATTTACCTTCACAATGTGTATAACCATCTCCAGTAAACTTCACACTGTGACTGTTGGGCACTCGCACACTCTTCCCCGGAAGGTATCCTACAAGTAAAAAGGGGGCATCAGAAAAAAGGCTCAATTGAACACATAGCTGACCTACAAAAAATTCCGGTAACATACATACCCTGCATGCGGTAAGGTTAGCAATCTTGTCCTGCCAGCAACCACCATTGTTTTTTAAGCACTCATTAGTTTCTATATCTGCCAAGGACAACTTATATTGAAATAACGAATATCATCGCAATGATAATCACTACCCAAAAAATAAAAATTTATAACTTAAATAGCATGGGATAAAATGGTGATGGTAATGCCAGAAAACTTATATGTTTCAATGCAAACCCCAAGAAGAAAATGCCTCTAAATTAAGAGTAGCAGATGATAACCTTCAGTTAAACAAACTGCTGGCTCTGTGGTCTCTTGAAAACCTGCACAAATTGCCTTGAGAACGGCTCCTCTGTCCAACTTCCCTAAATCCATCAGAAGAGATATATTAAAAAAGGTTAATTCAAACAATCAGATTGCCAGTAATGACGGTAAATTCTGATTCGAACTCTATACTGTCTGTTATTTATCACAAGAGTTGGCAGTATGGTTACATCTCCACGGGAGCCTTTCCGATCTATAATAAGAATTACAGCATAAATGAGAACCTCGATGACAAGATATGACAATGATTGGGTTGCAGGAATATCAAGAATTGGCTGACCTGTGCATCTTGCTCAGCTTTCAGAACGGGTTCTCCACATCAGCCTCAGTGTCACCAATACATTTGTCGACTTTATCGAGATCAACACCTATAAAGCAGAGAATTAAAGACAAATACATAAGTACACCTGCCGGATGTAAAGATATAAACTTGCTTTTTATCCATACGTAACAGATGACTCAAGTAATCTCTAATCAACATTTCATACAATTTATATATAAATTGTAAATATATAAATTCATTAGTACTGCAACAAATAATCCATTTTCATTAATTTTAGTGAACATAGAGGAGAGACTGTTATGTGTAATCAACTACAAGAAAAAACTACTAATTGCTATCCCAACCAAAAAGGAGACCAATTCAATGTTCTTATGCTCCATTTTCAAAAATAAAATCAATCAAAACTCGAACAGTATAACAGCAGCAATATTGTGAATGGCACATTTTAAGAATCGTATATGATAAAGAGCATTATGTATCAAGCATTAACCTACCAGTGGATCGGATAATTCTATCTGCACACTCTTTGTTATACTTAAGGTCCTTCATCGGGCAGCGGATAGCAAAGTCAGTAACATAATCCCACCAAAGCCATGGCCTTCCACTTTCATTAGCAACTTTGAAAAGGCAAACTTGACGAAGATTTTGAACCACCACATCTTACCATCATAACCTTTACTGAAGTCTTGCTCAGGATCCGGAGCACAGTATCTACCATGATTGATACACTGCGACTTGCACTGTTTACTCAAAATAAAAGCTTCGGGGCAATACCAAGTTATATAATGTGGGGTAAACAGAGTGAAGCCTTTCTGCTCAAGTATTTGAGCAGCTCCTTTGAAGTTCTTGACAAATTCGATCTGACTGTCACACTTGGCCCCACTCATCATTGCTGTTCGTCCAGAACTCGTACTCGACTCGCTGATCGGATGAGGAAGAGACTCTCGCCAATCGAGATTCATATTAACCATTTCCTCACCGCCAATGGCCTTCTTGAGGCTGTCCCCAAGTGATTTACTAATGAGGGCTGATGGAATGGTGATGTTCTGGAGGTATTCGGCATTAGCGTTCTCTTCTTCAGGGGTATCCATGGTATCAAGGGTTCATTCTTGTTGTCAGCAACAAGAATAGCAGCAGCTCCAGCTTTCTGAGCATTCCATGCCTTCAAGGTGAAGAAACAATCTGCCACAACAGCAAAGTTAAAGATGATAAAGCAGGTAAATAAACCCTTAAATCAATACATTTAGGCAATACTTAATTTAACAACTGCCAGCATGATTTAAAATAGTGTAAAAACTACTAAAACATAACCGAAATTCGACTTAATTAACAATGTCATAATTACAAAAATAGAAAGAAAAAGACCAGTATAATAGAAATACTTCCAAAATTGGATAACCATAGATATAAAAGGCGTACCTCCACGATCAACAAGGAGAAAAGTGGGAAGTCCACCAGGCTTTGACTTGAAGGAGATGTCGAAATCATCAAAGGACTTGCAAGCGCCTTGATTGGCTTTAGGATAAACAACGGTTCCGATCAAGGTTCCGCCGTACTGAGGAACCCAAAATTCCCAATCGCACACTCGTAAACCCCTTTGATCGACTCAGGCGAAGTCACTTTCAAGCTGTTCTTCTCCACTACAAACCTCCCCAAACAAGTCCCCGACAACAAAACCCACGCGCAAATCGAAAACCAAAACTTTTCCTTCATCTTCCTCGAACCCAAAATTAGAATGAAAAAAAAACTTTTTCTAACAACAATCCGAGATGGGGAAGTCTTCTATTTCGATCAATAACTGGGCATAAAAGTCACCTCTTTTTTGTCACAAAGTTTCCTAGGCCTTCCCGGGAGCAATGAGGCGTGTGTTTGGCCGTGGAAAGAAACGGAAAAGAAAGATCAACAAGCTTTGGAAGGAAGCAAGTCGTTAGCTTTTTCAAAGTTTGAGGCTTGATTTTCTATATCATTCATGTATCGTACACCGCAAAATCAAATGAAGTAATGAGTAAGTAAAGGGATTCCAATG